GTATTCAGTGTAAAATTCCCTACTAAATCGATATATCACATGTCCATACCTATAACAAAAAATCCCGATAAAAGTGATCACTGCGGCCAATCCCGAGGTCACTGGACAATATAATTTGGATATTTGAACTCCTCGGTGAAAGTTTTATAAGATTCAATCATAATATCCCGGTTTCCAGCTTAGGCTGAGTTCACAGTGTTCGACAGTTTTCTTTATTACAATCAACTGATGGTGTGTTATTAATTACGACTCAATATTGTACTGTACTAAACGAGAGTATTGTACAGAACTCTCTACACCTAAAGGTTAGACATTGTACAATTTGAAAGTAATTTTATTTATAACATCAAAATATAATTATAAATATTTATTATAAACTACTGTTAATTGCAATTAAATGCTATTTAATTATGTTTTATTTGAGAAATAAATGAATTGCTCTGTGGTGCTATGGTAATATTCAAATATTACGGGAAAATTCAAAATTTTGGTAATCCTAGACACACCGTCTCACACACGCCTTATGCGGATCACAGTTTTATATGATAAGCGCAAACACCGGATATTATATTGTAATTATTTGTATTTATTGTGAAATTTAATTTTGATGTAAAAACACATTATTTTACCACATATTTCATTGGAATATAAATAGAAACTTATTCAGAAAAATACATAAATATTTTTACATTGTTTAAAATACAAAACAATATTATTTCAGTTAATAAATGCAACAAACATTATTTTATTGATTATGAAATTATTTTTAATTTAACCCACGATTTGGGTCAAAATATTCATTAGTAAAATAAGTTTTTATTAATAACTATTGGCAATATACAAAAAAAATTATTTTAAAATTTTTATCATACAATCTTATATTTACATTAGAATATTATTTTGCTCTAATATTAATATTTATTTAAAATGTATGAAATATATTGCACCAAAACATCCTTCTCAGAAATATATTTATAAAAAATTTTAAACAAACCAATCATAATAATTACATTTAATAGCATAACTCTATACCTGAATAAACATTAGGAAAAACCGCACAAACAATGAACACCTTTTGCATAACATATGCATAATTAGCTTGTTTATGCCTACATACATCATTTTATACATAAATCATAAAAATAGAAATTCCTTTCATTAAAAAAATTTTACTTTCAAATGAAAAATGACATACAATTCTGTATAATCGACACAATGGTATTGACACAAATGTGTGTCATTTTTATTGTCATAGTTTTTAAACAAATTTTCAATTCAATGCTGGACTTGAACTTCAAAACCAAAACTAAATATAAAAATCAAAAGTTGTATTCAAAGGGCTGTCAGTGGGAACACAATAGTCGTCGCGCAAAGTCATGGGAACTCATAATTTACTACTCCTATCGCTAGCGCTACTAGTCGTGGGCTGCGCCTATGGACAGCAACCGCCCGGTGCTCGCCAACAGCGGACTAACAGCCCTATTATGCAGATAAAGAAGTCGGTGGACAAGAAGTTGTGTTCCGACACCGACTATACCCCGGATATTGTGGCCAAAATCGAGGACTGCGACAAATTTGACCCTCACTATAAAATTGATGTAAAATCAGTTTTTGTGTTAAAAAATAGTTTTTTTTGTTAATTATTTTTTGTGAATTGATTGACAGATGATGTATAAGGAGTGTCAGGATCTGGTGCCTAAGGGTGAGCTCAGTTGGAATGACAGGCGAAAATATAATTGCAAGGTATGTGTTGAACTCATTTATTAATTTTTGTACATAGGTAATTCAATAAAATAAAATGGAAATATGCTAAATCAACTACTGTATAAACTTAATATTCAGTTTCCCATATATCGTATATACAAGTACTTATATGATTGATTTATTATTTATTTTATTATTTAATTTGTAACTAATTTAATAGTGCAGTTATTTGACATATTACACCAAGTATGTGAGCAATGTCCTTTTCTTATGTACATAATAGGTTCGCGAGTGTTATGATCGCAAGTTTGGGTCCAAGGATTACAATAAGACATGGGATGAGATCCGCAAGTTATCCGACGTTGAGATCGAAAAGAGACAAATGCAGAAATTTGTGAGTATTTTGTGTTTAAATGTGATNGGCAATGGACGAAGACTTCACGTATGAGAACCTAAATGGACTCAAATATCTCAATGCAGTCATCAATGAGACCCTACGGCTCGCACCCCCTCTCAGCTCCGTTCAGAGGGTGTCCGTCGAGGACTACAAACTCGGAAACACAGGTAATCACGGGATAGGTATCTAAACGTAATGTTTAACTCAATGTTATCTCATAGGGATTACAGTACCGAAGGGAACTACGTTAGAGTTTCAGCCCTATATACTCCATAGAGATCCCTTGAATTTTGATGATCCGGAACAGTTCATACCCGAGAGGTTTGTGAATCCCACACACCATCCCTACGCGTTTGTACCGTTTGGTGGCGGACCCCGACTTTGCATCGGACAACGGTTTGCCTTAAATGAGATGCGAATGTGTATCGCAAAGTTGATACATAAATACGAGTTCACGACAGCACCGGGATTTAAGGTATGATAAGTGGATTTATATTTATTTTGTGAAATGTATTAATTTGATGAATCTATGTACAGTTGGACTATTTCACTGGTAACTTTTTGCTAACCCCTAAACAAGTGTTGGTCAACATTAAGAGACGTTAGACATGATTGAATTTAAATCAAATATATTTGTCAACCTTTTTTATACATGGTCTTATATTCTAATATATTTATACATGTATAACATAAATTATACTCCATGTGCAAATTAAAATTTTATTTCTAAATTATATGGACACATCATATACAACGAAATTTATTTACACGTTCAAATAATGAGACTCAATGTTTTTATTACACAAAAATTAATCTTATACAATCATTAAATAATATAATGTAGAAAAGTTATTACTGTATCATAATATGTACGCACTCGTAGGGGGAGGGGTACATGCCAAAGTTAAATTGCAATGTAACTTTATGCTGAGATTAAAGGGGGAGTGGGGTAAAAGAACTAGCTAATTGTAATTATATTTTAATTTATTCATTACATAATAACTACCAAAATGAACTTTTAAATTATTAAATTATGATAAAACAGCAAATATTTGGTCTATTCATTTTCACTATACATACAAAATTTGTGAAGTGGAAAACACATTTAATGATAATTGTGTTCAGTTTGCTATTATTTACAGTCTTATTAACGTATTTATCGTTGAACTCACTGCTAATACATCAAATCTTGTAATTCTGTACATTCAAGTAATATTATTTTTAGCTTAGAGTGCAATCTGTACTCTTTATCGACAAACTGTATATTTATTTATTTTATACATTGATAACTAGTTAATATTCTGTATGCAGTGTCAGTTTACTGTATTGCTGTTGTGTACCAGTGCACAGAGCACTGGAAATAATCATTTCATAAAGATCCAAGGCTATTTTAGGAGTTTCTTTGTTAACTACACATACATGCATATGATTTATTGCTTTATGTTTCACAATTATGTCATAACAAACACATTTTGAATTCTTATATAAGTTATAAATGGGTAAATTGATTCAGTTTTAGTTATTATATTTCCAGCTATTTGTGTGTCTAAGTGATATATTATTAGACATATAAGACTACAGGTACCCTGAACGAAATTATGGAGCTAAACATTTATTGGACTACTTTCATAGCCCTTATCACTATATTTCTATTGTAAGTCATATTATTCATACCGTGCTAAATAATTATAATATACTAATTAATTTACCTTTAAATCCCATTTCAAATAAAGATATTTGAGACACCGGTACACCTACTGGTCCCGACACGGTGTCAAAGGGCATAATTACGTGGACTTCTGGGAATTGTTCACAAAGTTCACGGACAGTGCGATGGGTGGCTACCAAAAGTTTGGCCGAATATACGGCTATTACTTCTTTATGAGTAAATGGATTGTTGTGAACGAACCGCAACTCATCCGGGATATTGTGGTCAAAGACTTTCACATATTTCCCAACAGATATGACATGAATTTAGGCGAAAGTAAGATCTCGAAGGCGTTGTTCTTCATGAAAGGGGACGACGAGTGGAAACGGATCCGCTCTATAGTCAGCCCTACCTTCACGACCGGGAAGTTGAAGGCAATGATGGCTCATATATCGGATATCGCCGATCAGTTTGTCACCAATTTGGGAGTATATGCTGAAAATGGTTTGTTTTATTAGTATAATTAGTATTTAAATAATATATCAAATAATATTCTTAATGTAATATAATATAATTAATGTAATAGGGTGGTTAACTAGTTAGTAAAAATACAGTATGATACAATTACGATATTTCTAAACATTGTTATATTTTATTTAATAAATTAATTATTTTTACATTTTAGGTGAAGTGGTAGATATGCGCAAATACATGGGTGCCTTTGCCATGGATGTGATCAGCGCCTGTGCCTATGGTATAAACGTGGAGTCGATTAGTGATCCCAATCATCCCATTGTAGTGAACGCTAAGAAGATATTGTCGGTTGACTCGAGTGTTGGTTATGTTATCTCTGTTTTGTTTCCACCGATCGCTCGATTCCTACGCTTAGAGCCGTTCGACAGAAATGCTCTCAAATTCTTTGACTCTTTAACGGAAAGGATAGTCAATGAACGCAAAGAATCGGCAAAAGTGGCCACAATTGAGGGTAAATTCAGATAAAATTATTTATTATTTTAATAAAAATAAATAAATTTTTAATTAAAGGCAATAAGAAATCAGATTTTCTGCAACTTATGATTGATAACGAAAAGTGTGACAAAGATTTCGATTCCGACTATAATAGCGATGAAGAC